GAAGCTATCTCCGTCGGCTTTCAATTTCTGACCCTCGATATGACTTTCCCATCCTTTGCCTTTAAACATACAAATGTAACGTTAAGTAAAAAAAAAAAAAAACAATATTTTCTACACGGAGAGGATTTTCTTTTAAAATTTACCCTGAAAATCATGTTAATTGTGAGATAATATAGTATTTAGATAAATTTTACTGTGCACTACAATAAATTTTATTGCGAAATCTTATTGTAGTGCACAGTAAAATTTGCCTAAATACTATATTGTCCCATAATTAACATGATTTGCAGGGTAAATTAAAAAAAAAATTCTCTCCGTGTACAGTTGAAAAATTGGAAAATTACCTAGGACATCCTCGACGCGTTTCAAGTACATCGTCAATTGGTAATCGATTTGTTTGACCCATATTATAGATCCAGCTACCGGCGGCAAGTCTCTCACCATGCTCATTCTGCAGCATTTACTTTGCGCATATTGAACCTACAAAAAAAAAAAAACATTTATCGCGGTCAATTAATAAATTTAATGCGTTCATTTAAGGTTTGGATATGTCCGCTCGAAATTAAAGTTGCCTTAATATTTATTTAATACCTTAAACTTCTCGTGCAGCGCCTCGATATCGTCTTTGACTCTCTGTATAAGTTGCGTCTGATACTCTCTGATAGCGCCCCGAATGTGCGGTCGCACGAAGAGCGCGTTAAATCGCGAAAATATCCGGAACATTTCATTCGCGTTCTTGGCCGTGCCCAATTGATCCCGGAGATGCGCCGTGATCCGCGCCTCCACGCGCTCGATGCGCTCCTCGTATCTGTGCACAGCGGCGTCCCAGGATTCCTGTCCCTCCTTGGTGATGTCCAGACATTCCACTTCCTTCACGTTCTCGTACGCCAGGTTGACCTCGCTGATGGCGTTGGCGTCGGCGGCGTCCAGCGCGAATTCCACCTTCACGTTGTCGTTATCGGCGTTCTCCATCGTGGAGTTGTTGCTGCTCTGGCGTACGGTGGGCCTGAGCACGCGGACTATCACCGTCCGCAGCTGCTCGTGCTGCCGTCGGAAGCGGCGCATGTGCTCCATCCGCGACTGCAACTTCTTGTGCGCCGGCAGCACCCGCCATACCATCTTCATGTGCTCGTCGCGCTTCTTCTTCACGACGTCCCTCAGCAGCCCCGTGAGCTTGTCGTACTCGTCGTCCCAAGTGGTGAACACCTCAAAGCACTGGGCCATGACTTTCTCGAAATCGTCGAACGGAATGTGCATCAGACGCCGCGTGCCCAGCACCTTGAGCAACTGCTGCCCCAGGTCCCTCGAGATGGCCTCCACCAGTCGCAGCACTCTCTGAATGGGATACTTCGTGCTCCTGATTTTTCTCAGGTGCATGAATATCTGCTGCACGCTGCTGCGTATCCGTTCGAGTTCGGTGGCCGACAGCAAGTCGTTGATCGGGAAGTCCTTCATCAGCGGATTGTAGTCGTTGACGGTGGCCAGCGCCTGCTTCAGGCCGGTGTCGGTGTCGAAGCTGACGGTGGCGTGAAACCGCTTGCCGTGCTTGAGTATGTCGAGCGTCAAGGAGATCTCGATGCTCTCCCGCTTCTCCTGAATGCGGTGCAACGCTCTCTCGAGATTCAGCCAGAACGATATCTCCTGAAGGGCCGTGCCCGACTCCGGATCGCGATTCAGCTTCGTCACCTTCTGGATCTCCTTTATCCACCTGTTGACGCCGTTCTGCAGCTGATTCAGGAACGTCGAGTCCTCGACCTTGTCGCCGAAATCGGCGACCTTCGGCTTACGGCCCTCCTCCTCGCACTGCTTAATAACTTGCGCGACGATCGGATGTACGGGCAGCGAGATCTCGGGGATATCGATGTTCTGCTGCAGATGCAGCAACCCCATTTCAAGTTCCGCAATCTTCTTCTCCACCAACGGCACCATCTTATCCCCATCTCTGTGGGCGCGACCTGTTTCCTTGACGTAACTCTTGAAATAGGGCGCCATGGTCTTGCTTATTGCGTGCAAAGTCTCGTACGGCGGTCCGTCGGAGAAAGTGATCAAGCGCACTTGCGAGTGAATGGATTTATCAGCCTCGACAACAATTCCACGCTTCGTTAGAACTAGGGAGGCCATTTTTGGGCTTGAAAAGTGTATCTCGTTTGATATATAATAGGTGGCATTCTCCTTGTCTTCATCTCCCTCGCCACTGTCTTCTTCTGCAAAGAGAACATAATAAATATATGAAGAGGGTTTTATTTTAGGGTTTAGTGTTTCTCAATAATTAAATCATAATAATGATTAATTTCGGAAAAAAAAATACAAAATAAAAATTAGAGATTGATGGAAACTTTTAAAATTTATCGATTTTATTTATAATGCACAATAATTTGAATTATTTAAATTGGCTGCTAACGATGAGATTAAGTAAAGTATTTTTAAAAAAATACAAAATATAATATATAACTTATCTTTTTATAAATTATTTTTTACATCATACATATACTGTACAATATATAAACTTTCCTTACTTAATGATTAGCGTATAAATAAAAATATGTTTATCATAAAGAAGTCTGACGGATTTAACACGTAGTGACGGTACCTGCGCAGTAGAGCGCAAACGCGGCAGATAGAATCCACGGATTTGTTATCAAACTAACGCGTTAGCGCTGCACGTTCGCCAACGCGTATATACGTGATGCAAGCACGCGTGAGAAGGTCGTGGCGAGGATCACGAAGGAAACGTGCCGTCGCCCGACGTTAATCGATACACGCATACATCGATCTCATCAGCTCGAGTGAGTCATATTTGGCGGGAGAGCGGGGCGTGAACGCGGGCCGCGATTGATTTTGCGGGACGCGGCTTTCCTACCGTGCACGTATCATGCATACGTAGGTAAATACGTATGTATGTACGTATATGTACGTGCGAATGTACCGTTGCACGCGCCGTCACCGATTAAGCTAACGCATCCGATAATGGAGGGCCGTGCGTGCGCCGGTCCTCCTCTGACGGCCGCCGATCTTCGTCAGCTCGCGAGAGAGAGAACCGACGATGACGGTGACGGTGATCGATCGGCTCACCTTTGCTCGAGCTCCTCTGCACGTAGAGCGCGTTGACTTGCGAGTCCCCGAGGAACTTGCGGATGCAATCCTGGTTGTAGCGTTCGTCGAGCGCCAGGTTAAACGCGGGCGGCACCGCATCCTCGTCCGGCAGCAGCACGGTGACGGCCTTGCGCAGATAGCTGGCGAACGTCGGGTACTCGACGATCGTGACGTTCTGCGACTCCGGGGACGGTTCCCCGGAGCCGTCCAAGGAATCGCCCATGCCGGGTCGGTCGGTACCTGGCCACTCGCGTTCGCGTTATTCGCCTAATCGCCACCACTCGCTCACTGGCCTGGAGATCGTTCCCTCGCCGTCCCACGGCTGGATGAGAGCGTGATCGCCGAGGGGGGGGATAGAGCGAACGCGACCACCACCAACCCCCTCCGCTTCGAAGTGAACTGTCAGACGGCCGTACTAGCGCCACGACTGCCACCACGAGCACGAATTGACACGAACTATGCAGTCGGACGTCGTCGGCAGTCGTCGGGTAGATCGGGTTCGGTTCGGCTTCGGGCTGTGGAATGCGCATATGTGTGTGGAATGAGCTCGACGAGTCCAGGGGTTATAAATGGGGTAGATATAAATTATAATGCGCATTTATGCGATGGCTGGCGATTACATTGAGAATATTGAGACATATGCGTGATCAGATTCTTTCTCCGTTTCACAAAGTGTACTGGACACAAGCGCGAAATATTATTAATAAAAACCACTAATCCTGGACAAATTTTCGTGACTACCAATGCGATCAGGCCTGAAAATTCGATGGTATGTAATTGAAAAATATCGATATTACCGATTGCCGATATAAAATTTTTGATCACCAATTAAAATAATTTATTATATTATTATATAGATGCTTTATATAAGATATACATTTACGGTGCAATAATATTATGTATGTATATATATATATTATATATATATATATATATTGCTTCAAAACTATATTTTTAAATAGTTATTACTCGCGTGGTATCAAATCTAAATGATAACAATAAAATTGTAATTTTACAATTATGTGCAGATAAAAATCGAATATTATTAAGTCATATGCAATGCATACATCCATGCAAAACAAAAAATATAATATATTATATAATTATTACATATTATAAACTAATCATTTAAATTTTAACATGTTGAATTTTCATAAAACTGTCTGTTCGTAATATACAAGTATTTATAGTAAGCAAAATGTAAGAATGAAACAGAGAGAACAAAAGATTGGGAGAAGAGAAAAAATAAAAAAGGGGAATGCATATCTCTTTCTAATTTAAGATAGATGATTGCTTGTTGTACGCTTACTACTTGCAATTTACTTTCACACCCTTGATACTTTGAGACATGAAAAATTTTAAACAATTTTCTCGTAAACTATTACATTTTAGCAAGAAATTTATTATGCATTAGTTGAAGGGATATGAGGTACCTATAAGTCCTTATAACTGATGTAACATATTTTAAAAGGTCAGTGAAATTTATGTGATATCGAAAGTATATCTTCTTTTCGTTACTCTTCTTGTTTATTTCTTGTTTTACGATTCAGTTAAAAAATGTTATATTACTTTAAAATGGATTCAATTTTTATTTAGATACAATTTTTTAAAATTATTTTCTATAAAAAATACCAAAGATCGATATTTTAGAAAGTAATTTTTGAAATGTAAATTTCGCAAATTCTTGTGACAATTAAATTTTTAATTTATTTTCTATAAAAAAATTGTTTCAGCGTATAACTTAATGCAAAATATTTCAAATTTTGCTAATTCTTAGCATCTTTTCCAAAATAGTTCCACTTTCCATAAAATGGGAATTCCATAAGTAAATATATACTTTTTCATTATTATTTAAAAAAATAGCCAACATTTCATTCAAAACGAGGTAGAGAAATTTAGAAAGTTAATCTGTTATCAAACTTACTCAACTCTCTTTATTTTTTAGTCTTCATACACATTTTTCTCATTATCACTTGAATTACTTGTAATCTCATCCTCAGAATTTTCACCACTTCCTATGAACGTTTCCTCATGGAGGAAAGGTGGTACCTTCGTGATAAATCGTGTGGCTTGAGTTTCAAGAAGAACCTGTGGCAAGGATGGCAATGGCAGAATCGATTCTTCATCCTTGTTGTCGCAGACTTCGATTGACCATGTACTAAAAGTGTTTTTTTGCTTCAGCGCTCTCACAAGATCGTTTTCCTCATCTGACTCGTCGGATTTTTCTTGGATAGACGAATCGTCATTTCTAATTTTATAAATAGGAGAAATCACGTTCCTGCGATCTAAATTAATATCGCTTGGTCGCGTTGACCATATGCAGTGAGGAGGCATTGGCGGTGGGGCGGGTGCAATCTGACAGTCCTTGTTGTCTTCAGTACTCGATGCAGGCTCTCTTGATACATTTTTACATATACGCTGTAACGCCCTGAACTCTCGTTCGGACATAGACTTACGTTTGTCAACTAAAGCTTCTTTCAACTCGCTCATAAAATTTTTCGCCAGAAGTTTATCCAGCTTACGTTGCTCTAATGAGTATTCGTCCGTGTCGTCGTCCAATGATTTCGAATACTCCTCTTTGATATATTCTTCAAACACCTCGTCAAGGATCTGCGGATCCGAATCGATTATCACTGGCAAATTGGGATTCTCGTTTATTGTAGCATCATCGGTTACAGATTGACTGTTCCTTAGATCACTGAATCGTGATCTTGCCATCAACAGAACGACAAACTCTGCCAGACTCTTAGCCGTGTCGATCTCTTTGAACGCTTTATCCAACTTCTGCATCAGTGTGTCAGCTGTTTCGTTATCGATACCATTATCCTGATTAATGCAGTCATCAATGTCTTTAAACGTTGAAAAGACTTGATTGTAGGCTAATTGTAGTTTATAGGACGCCAAATCCAATTGGACAGTTGGATCGTGCCACTTAGCTTTGCCCTGTGTCCTACAACAAGAAATCTTTTATAATAAAATCTTCTAAGATCTTAGGTCTGTTCTTTTGAACACTTCTTGTCACGTTCGTCTTTTCCTTTCTTCTTCAACGTGGGGAGAAAAAATGTAAAATAAATCGTGCAATAAATTCAACTGAAAAGAACAGGCCTATTGTACAATAAACACATATATCCTACAACTTACTTATATCGAACTGGTTCTGTTTTGCAAGTACGATACGCATTCATAATTTCCGACAATTTAACTTTATATACTGCCAATTCTTTAGCTAAGATATGAATTATATACGCTAATTCCGTTTCAGGAATCTTCCGGCAGGAACTTATCCACGTCCTGCTATTATATGCGATAGCTAATAAGTACAACATTTCTGATTGTACCAAAAGATAGGTGTGATACAATCTCTATAAAAAATGAAATATATAAAAATATAAATATGAAATGTTTGTAAAAGTTATCATAAAATATATTGGCATTGCATTATTTATCTACCTTTAATGTTTGATAGTTGATTTCACCCGATGCTTCGAACGAGTTACACTCGAATTTTGTAAATAGCTCTTCGCTAAGGGCGTCTGGCGGCAGCAATTTTGCAATTGACAGCGAACATTTGTAATATACACAGGAAATATTTTCCATGAATTTGATTAAAGCATCTTTTAGAGATTCAAGGTACTGCAACTTTTCACCTAAGAAATGACTACAGTACAAACAAAGAAATAGGATAAAGAGTAGCACCCATATCTAAATTTTTGTTTACATATGGAATATTAATATTTTCTTTAATTTATTACAAATTTTGTACACTTACGAAAATTGTTGCAGACATGGTCCAAAACCCAATTTCATTTTATAATCATGTCGTAAAATCTTAAGGCCGTCTTTACACATGATGAAAAGTTCATTTTGTAATAGTATAACGTTTTTGAGATTTCTATTTGCATAAAAACGTAAATATTTCATATAACCGATGCAACAAATTGCAAATGATGCAAATAACGTTGGCAAAATCTTCTGTTCACACAGTGAAACACATGTTGAAGAGATACAGGCCCCAGTCACTATTAGTTCTTGTAGTGTTATTCTACGAACAGAAAGAATAACTTCACTATTAAATCAGGAACATCAATTTTAACCAGTCGTATATTTTGTAAATTTTATAAAAAGCAAGAAATGTTCCATGAATATCAGAACAAATGATGCTTAATAAACTATCTTTTACGATAATTAAAAAAATTCTATAATTACTTTTTAGAACTGTTATTGCTCTTAATTGTAAAGCTGTTAATCACAGAAAAATGATCATTCAACAAAGCCTCCGCATTCAAAATAACGATCAATTGCCTTTCTGAAATGCTTTTCTCCTGCAACAATGAATTATATCCAATTCAAGCAATTCAAAACAGATTGCATAATCATAATTCTCAAAGCAAAGCGTACCTGCGTTAACCAAGAATAAAGAGAAAACAATTTTGCATAAATCTTTTTCACGGTGCTCTTAATATCCTGCAAAAATTAGAGAAGTTATGTACAATTCATCAGTATCTTTTACATGCATTTTATATATATAATGTAAAAGTTTATTACGATATTCAAATAACGTTCCCGTTTGAAATACGTTTTCTTGGGCATAGGCACAGTTTCGTAGTCTGTATAACCTAATCTCGAAAGATGCTCATGAAGAGCGCTGCCCTGCAATGCAGATAAAAATATTGCATTAAAAAAATTATCGTTCATTAATTATTGTTGTTAATCAAGTATAATTATCCTTATTTTTTTAATCTGTTATTCTAAACTTATTCAGTTTTTGTTATTCTTGACCAACGGTTCATCTTTGTGATTTGTTTGACAGTCAATAACGTGCCTCTAACGTGAAAATTATATGCTTAATTAATTTAAAAAAACCACATTGTCAATTCTCTTTCAATACTTTCAGTAAATATTTATGAAAAGTGGCGAAAGATATTGCACGAACGAAATGTAAACATAACCTCATTCTTTTGTTTAGGATGGCAAATGTGGTTTTTTTAAAGTCATACATTATGAGTTTAAGAAAATGAATTTATCGTACTTGTATCACGACATCCTCGTCTTCCTCGTCGATACCATGTATCTCCATTATTATTATTTAATTCACTATAAAACCTGTGCAGACAAACACGTGTTGCATCGCAAGGTATCTTGCGAAGTAGAAGGGAAATCGTAGATTCACGAATTGTAAAATTCCTTAATTGGACCGAAAAAATCGTGAAAATCCATAGTATAATTTTTTTGTGATTTTTCTTTTTGTCAAAGAATTACCTATTCTTCATTCGTGTAACTGTATCGAACTAGATGATAGTTTGCTTCACGATTGGTTTTCAATGTTTTTATTTGCACTAATATTTTTCTCATCTGAAATGAGATGGATATATTTGACTGTAGTGTAATGATATATATATATATATATAGAGACAGAGAAAGAGAGAAAAATTCAAATATATTGTTCTAAAATGACATAAATAATATACAATAAAATGTTAAGAAATTATAAAAGAAAAATGAAAAAACCTTTAAGTTATTCTTTGTAACTAAACAATAATAATATATATGTATACTTTTTGCATTATTTTACTTAAGAGAGAGAATTCAAAAAATGTAATTATAAAAAAAAACAGATTTATAAGGTTTACTCATGTACATATATAAAAAATTAGACAGAACAAGAAAAACATTAGACAGGAAAAAAAGGGAAAAACTAAAAGTAAGTAAAAACTTTAGCTTACAAAAAAAAACTGACATTTATACGCTTTCTTCTTCCTTTATTTATACATTTATATAAAACACACACTTGTCCCTTCACCGCGGGTGTTGTGAAGTGCAGCCTGGTGCAGTCATCCATCAGTGCCAGTACAGTACTGCCAGTCCAGTGCGACCAACGGAACGGCCGCGAAACTCGTGAGAGAGACCCAGGTCCATGTTTACCCGTTTTGACGTATGATGGTCCGTGTAAGATGTTATTATGCGCCGTTTCTCAAGTGACACTCGCGAGACGTAGTCGCGCGAGGTGCGGGCGGCCGTCCAGCGATTTCTCGTAACCGTCAGGTCGAAAGGTGGGTCGCGCGTGACGCGCGGTGCAGGCAGGTTCAACTCCACGACCATCCACGACGTTCGACAGAACGGTGGTCTCATCGTCGTCGTCGGCGGCGGCGAGCAGTGGCGCGTTTCATGCGACCGCACGGGCCGCAGCTTCTCGACGTCGTCGCGTCAACGTCGCTTCCCCGCGACGCTGACACCGCGTTCATCTCCGAGTTTGCATACGCGTTGTAATATAACCTCGGGCGTGATGGCACTGTCGTAGAGGGTGTCGTTACGATGCCAGTGCGACGATCGAGTCCTCGGTCCTCGAGTCACCCGGGGACAACCTCGCGCGAGACCGTCCGCTCGCGCGCGAATATCCGTCGCTCTTATCTTATCCTGTACGGTTGTCGGGTTTTCTAACGACATTGCGACATATGCCACTTCGTTCCTGTTTCTTGAATTTTATCGAATCCCGTTCGATAAATAGCCACGTGGTTCTCAATTTTAAAGATCCACCTTCCTTACGTATCGTTATTCGTTATTCTAGGTATTTATAAAAAAAAAAAATGGCAGACGTCAGGTTACTCATCCAAGAGGAGGGTCGCGCGGCCAGGAACTTGGTAGCCTTCAACGTGCCCGTTGGCACGAATAACGTAGAGAAAATTACGAAGAAACCGCCCAGCGTGCCGAGGCAAACGCAGTCGGGCTCGACGAAGCGATCCATGAAACCAACCACGAGAATAAGATCTGCTTCTACAGGTCGTGATAAGAAATCTGGTGAGATAGATTTCTCTTATACTCTTTGTTTTTTTTTTTTTTTTTTAATAAATGCTTGTAATGTTAAGAGTGAATTTTTAAGATTTTCTCAATTGTAAAAGAAATTGTTTTGCAAAAATTCATATTGCTTGTTGAACTTTTGATCAAGCGCGTATTGTCTTTCTAGAATTACAGGCACGCTACTGGGCGTTTCTATTTGGAAATTTACAAAGAGCGGTCGACGGTATCTACCAAACGTGCGAGGAGGACGAAAATATCTCCGAGTGCAAGGAAGTTATTTTGGTGCTCGAGAACTACACCCGGGACTTTCATAATTTAATAGAATGGTTCAAAGTTAAGTGGGCCTATGAAAATTCGTCGCCGCCGCTACGACGGACTCCGCTGGCCTGGGAAGTCCGGAAAACGTCTCCTTGTCGGATATGGAATTCGACCGTGATACCGAAGTCCACTAGTCCCCTGCAGAGAGCGAGTCCGACGGAGTCGGTGTGCAGGAGTCCGATCGATCAGATCATATGCGAGGACAAGCCGATCGTGACGGACAATAAAGTTAATCACGCTAAAGAGGAGTTCGTCCATAAGTTGTTGAAGGATAATAAGAACAACGTTTGCAAGAATTGCTCTTCCGATATCAAGGAGAAACGTAGGAACGGTGGTGCAGACAGGGCGGGAAATCAAACGGCGAGTAAGGAGAAATCCACATCGACGAAAGCATCGAACAAGGTTCCCGTGAAGCAAACGGTGCAATCGAAAACGAACAGCTTTGTGGATCGCAGGTCGTTAAACGACGGGGTGACGTACGATTCGAAGAGCAAGATGGACGTTAGAAATATGTCTAAGCAAACGAAGGACTGTTCGCACAGCAACGCTGCGAAGCTAGTTGATTCTAATTTATCCGGGGAGAAACGAGAAGCGTGTAGAGGTGATCAAGACGTTCAGTCGATCTCGTGCGCTAATTGTGAACTTGTGCAAAAGGAGTTTAACGGCGTGAACGTTAGAGACGGGAGGACAGACGGGAGAAGTGTGGACAGCAAATTATCGTGTAATAACGAACTGGGAAAGAATGAAATCAATGCCAAAGTTAAAAAAGATAGTAATAGAAAGTGCGAAAGCAATTGCGTCAATGCTGAAAAGTTAGATACGAAGACGGCCGTTGTTCAGAGTACTTCAGAAAAGGTGAATCAGGTTAATTGCCAAACGAATGAACACCCTCACGAAATTGGCGATGAATCGAATACTAAAGATATTCAGGATACGTCATCTAATAACACGAGCCCCATGGTGATTAGCACAAACCGACCTGCCTACTCAACCGTGTCGCAAACAAAAAGATCCAAAGTACAGTCGTCAACTTCATCCGAAACTCCAAGGTTTATTAGAAGTAAAACTTGTTTAAGTGATAAGAACTTACCTGCCTCAAGTAAAAGAAGGCCCGGAACGTCGGTTATTGTGAGAGGACGGTTTCAAACTCCTGAAAATAAGGTATTCTAATTTAATATATGTTTTATTATTTATATTTTATTAAACTCATATTGTTTAGAGTTTTAGAGAATGTGGACAGAGTAAAAAAATAAATTTTAATTTCGAGAATTTGTACTGCAAACATATATATATTTTTTTTGTTTTTTATCAATAATTTTACGTGTGACGTGAAATAATTTGTGACTTCATAGTTCATACTTTTGATAAATTTTTTAGTAATGTATTTATATATAGCAAACTTTCAATGTTATATAATATTATACCAATTTACATTTTTTATTATGAATATATGTAGAGATTTTAATTTAAATTAATTCGAGTAATTTAATTTAAATACATAAATGAAATATTTTTTCAGTTATCAGAACAAAACACTTTGAAAAAAGATCAAAACAGGGACATGAATGGATCAGTAGAAGTTTTAACCAAGCAAACAGTATCTCCAAAGATAAAAGACGAAAGTGATGGTTGGCAAACAGTAAGGAATCGCTGTAGAAGAGGGAGCACTCATAACTTGAATATGTCTACACGCTTTCATAAACCGAGTACTGCTCTATCCTTGCCAGCTTTGTCAATAGAAAGTCCGTCGGAGAAGCTGAAGAAGACTAGTTATACTCCTGACGGAAACAAGCAAAAGAAAAAATGTATTGTAGGAAAAACTGGGAAAAATATGAATAACGAGGTTGAGAAAGTTAAAGGGGAATACATAACGTCCACGATTAAAAGTAATTTCGAGGACACGCTTAAAAAGAACACGTTAAATTTGTGCGACACTAATTCGACGTCAGTGATCGCAGCTATCTTTAAGAACGACGCGGAATTACTTGAGAAACGTATACAACAGTTTATGACCGCTCAGGCAGAGAGAGAAAGAATTATCTTGGAGGAAGAGAGGAAGACGGAAGAGGCAGATTCTCAAAGATCTCAGCAGCTGTCGGATGAGGAGGCGTCTCTAAAACGACAAATTTTGGAGTTGGAGTCCACTGAAATTGATGTTGACACCGAAACAGACGAAACGGATGGCGAAATGGTCCTCGAAATGGAGGACGAGCCTGCAGTACCGCTCAGTGCCGTCACTGACGATATTAGTTTAGAAGATAGGTACGTGAAAGCTACGCATGTTGTTTAGGATTGATCGTCTCGATAGGATTGTCAAATTTTGTTAACAAAATGAATGTTACAGGTACGAAAATATGTTGGAAGGCATGTCTTGGGCGGAACGTGTCGATACTCTGGCACAATTGCGTGCACTCGTAGCTCGCCATCCCGGCCGTGCCTTGGAGCTTCATCAGAAACTTTCGTCCCCGTCGCGAAAAAGATCGCTCCCCGAAACACTGAGAAGATATCAAGCGAAGCAAGCCTGCGCGCAGCACAAACGTCAAAAGCTGCTTATGGAGAAATCGCAACGGTTGCGAGAACTATTGAACAAGGTGGAAGACGTCAAGAGTGCGAAGAATCAATTAATAGAGGACAAGAGGATCAGAATGGAAATGAAACTTAAAAGAGCGGAGGAAAACAGGACGCAACATTTGTTAGAGATAGTGAGGAAGGCACATGATGAAGACTCGAAGTTGAAGGAAATAGCTTTCATCAATGAACTGGAGGCACAAAATAAGAGGCACGATTTTATGGCGTTATGTCAAGAACAAGAAGGGAGATTACAGGTATGGGTATTTCCCTCACACATTTTTAATAATAAAATTTTTAATAACAAATTTCCGATTTTTTTCTATATATATGAAATTGTATATAATATATTATGTAAAACACATGCTATTATCGCGTTTTTAACAAGTATTTTCATTGTACAGGGTATTCAAGAAGAACGTCAACGTCGACAAGAGGAGAAAGCTGCCAAAGAAGCTGCAGCTGAAGAACGCCGAAGGGCCTTGGAGGCGGAGCGGCAGTTACGAATACAAAAAATGAAACAGGCACGACGAGAGCGCGAGGAAAGGGTTGGCAAAATGCAGCTCGAGAGAGAAAAAGAACGACAAGTACATTAAATTATCGTTTTGTTTACCAAAATATCTATATTTTGCAGCTAGAAATTTCTAAGTTATGTATTTCAACTGTGTAGGAACTGGCGAGGGAAAAGGCGCGAGATCGCGAAGAACGTTTGTCGGCACTTCATGCCGCGCAACTGGCTAATCAGGAGGAGCTGCAGAAGAAAATAGCGCAAAAGCAGCAGGAATCGGCTAGGCGGCATGTGGAGAACATCGAGCACATTCGGCAGCGCGCGGTCGAGTCGTCGATTTTAAGATCGGAGGAAGTGCCGCCCACTCTCAAGTCGTATCCCGCTCAGAAACAGTGTTCTCTATGTGGCACGATCGTAAGCATCAATTATCGCACAACTATCCGCAGCGTGATCTATTTTTTTTTCCTCTTCCCTTTTAACGAGACCTGTTGCGTTCGCGTGTTTCGCAGATATCCAACGAAGTGCATCTTCTAAGCCACTTGAAAGGGAAGACGCATCTTGAGGCAGTGCGAAGCGCGCACGATAATCGCGAGCCCTCGCGGGACGAACTTCAGCGTTTCAATATTGCACAGATACGGGACGTCCCCGTCAACGTGGTTAATAATAATAACGCCAATAGCAGCAAGGCTGCGAAAGAGAAGCAAAAAGCGCTGAAACGCCGATGCAGGAAGATAAAGCAGCGCATGAGCTCGCGCGGGCAGGAATGGGAGGACAAGCACAAAAATGAGACTAATCAAAATTTGTCCGTCGAGTCGGCGAATAAAGCCAAATTCCGGCGCAATTTGAAAGAATTAGACAGATTATATAGTAATCATTCCAAATCAGCGTGGACAAACATAGCATTGGCCACCTTGGAACGCTGCTTAGGGGAGATTGCTCGAGCATTCTCCAAATCGGTAGGTTCTGCAAAGGATAATAATAACATTCTTACCGTGCGTTTACTTCACATAATTATATCCCGCTTATTCTGTTTCAGTGTCCACTTGATCAGGATACTTTTAGGTATTCGAACGGATTTGACACTTTAACGAACTTATTGAATTTAGGCTTAAATACGCAAAATGCATCTCACATTTTACCGAATAAGTAAGTAGAATACACATTAATTGCAAGCGTAATAAACTTGTTAATTGATATTATCAAATATTTTACTTGAAATCTGAAATTTTTAGAGCAATTACATCGCTGTGCCGAGTTTACAAGGCAGCGATCAGCGGAAACACCGAGAGCACAGAAGCTATTTTGTTAAGCAACAAAATTCTTGTTATTCTGGATCTACTTCTGCAACGATTAGAGGTAAGTTAAAATTTATTTTAGTAGTGATTATTAGAGTATTAATCGCTTTAACAATGGATCATAAGTTAATACATGAATTTATGTAAAAAATTTGCTTAATATAAACGTAATGCGCTTAATTGTTTCAATCTGATGATTTGTAATATAGAAGTAGGCTATGTATTTTTATACATTTTATAGTACATCTTTGTATTTGAGTATATTCTAAGATACGTGGACATAGAATGACTGTCTGAGAAGCAAAAAGACTTAGTTCAAGCTTCCCATCAATGCTCAGGAGCAGTATATTTCGTAATATTAGTTACAGATGTTTTACAAATTGACCGGTCTATATTCACCATACTTTCAGTAACCTAATATAGTATTCTGTACCTTTTATTTGAATCGTTCTATTTGACAATCGAAGCACTTTACTATGTCAGCTTCTCCTGTCCTGTTTAGAGTCAAAGGGAGTGTTTTTGGAGGATATTTCTTTTTTAGCCCGGATGGTGAATAAGTAACACCAATTTCTCCCTGACGTACACACGATTCAAAGCGAATATATAATTACGTGTCCGTAGGTTATATAAACACAGGTCGATTTGTAAATCATGTAAGAAACAACACGAGAAAAACAGCGTTCCTGGTAGTGTCGAGACTCGAACCTAGGTCTTTTCTCTTCTCAGGTAGTCACTCTATCATTGAGCCACAACTGCCCTCGATACTTCAGAGTTCGCCTATGTACATACATATCGTATATATCTCCACAACTCTATTTACATCGACGCTGAAAGATTAACACTAGAATTGCGGCTGTGCCATTTTTTGTCTATCTGATAATTTTTCTTTTCCACTGTCATTGACTATGTCTGTGCGTAGACTGCATTCAGTATTAATAAAAATGTATTATTTAGTTTATCCACCGTCAAAAATCACAAACGAATAACATGGATCATAAAACCCATCCGCAATTCTAAGGGAGGACCAAATCGCCGCGGTTCTAATGTTAATATATATATTGCTCGATTAGATTCTTTTTCGTCATATTCCATACCGTGACAAATTTTAGGGCTTAGAAGAATATCTTTAAATGCTATTTAAACTGAAGTTTGTAACACATCAAAATTCGCAAATACCATGCCACTTGTTTAAGTTCATATCAGCCTATGCATTGAAGATTAAAACTCGCGAATTTAGATTAAATTAGATTCCCACCAACAATTAAATAAGATTAGATTTTGATAACTTTAATTTTAATCCGCTTTGTCCTTTTCGATTTAAATCTAATTTCTAATTCGTATTTCTGCACGAGGATGATATAAATTAATCAACGCTTAACCGACAGAATTATTTAAAGCAAGCTCTTTAATCATACAATTCGTTATTTAATCTTTTCGCGTGTCAAAAAATTGAAGACACTAAATTGATAATTTATCATATTAATAAAATATTGTCAAGTATTTTACTTTATAAATTAATCATTAATTAAGTTGATCAATACATGATCTTCATTTCCAATTTATGTTATACAGATTTTACGTCATTTTCCTTGAGTTTTTCTAGGAATTCTCAATTTTAAAATTTTAGAATTGCCCATTTTTTGAACGTAACTTCATATATAAAATTTATGTCGGCATTCTATCCGATACATGCTGCCCTCTAGGAAGAAGAGAACAAATTTATCCGAATAGAAATCTTTAAATCGATCTTTCAATATATATGTATTTTATTTTTGTATATTTTTGAATATTTTTAAATATAATTTTTAAAAGAAAAAAGGAAAAATAGGTCTGATCTTTAGAATTGAATCGGCATCTCTTGATTATATTTTTAATTCTACGTCATGCAACCGCATTTAAATATTATAATCGCATAATGATAACAGTTCTCGTTTTCTACTCGTCATGTCAATGTCAAAGCATCAACGAGTTTCGGATTAATTCGGTCGTAGTTCGGAAATTTTTGCAAATTAAATTTCAGAGGTAATTAAATAGAGAAACGGAATTCCGTTCTGTATTTAGTTTCAAGGAAATTCTAGCGGAACGAGCGCACGGTAATCAAAATGTGATATTATCTAAGGATTATTAATAAGGAAACCAGCTTCTGATCGCACATTTTATTTTTGTCGCGATATTATTAAGGACATAAAAATTTTCTCTTTTACAAACGGCGTTTTGATCAGATATAATTCCCTTCATAAATTTTTATTATTCACTATCTCAATTCTTTATTCTCGATCAAAGAAGAGACGAATATTTAATCTTCAGAACATTTGTGTGTATATATGTATGTGCGTATTTTATACATGTTATACATGTATATTTTACAAACATGTAGTATTTTAACGCAACAAAGCTACGTACTTTCTTTTAGAGATTGGTTTATTTAAAAGAAGTTAGATTATTGTTTATACATACAGTATATAAATTATATATGTGTACAATGGCTGTATGTGCCAAAAATTTCCGGCCAATAAGTAATTTTATTGTATTGGAAATTATTAAATATATTGTATCATGTATAAAAAATTTTAATATTTTCAATTTTAAATGAACAAAATAAAATCTACAATGTTTTAATACAATTGGAAATTTACGCACATGTATTTTTAAAAAGATATCGTGAAATTTACTCACATATATTTTTAAAAAGATATCGCAACATTGACTGGAAACTTTTAATTTCCACTGTGTATAATAATATGGAGATTGTACATACTAAATATCTTATTTAATTATAATATATAAATTATAATCAAATCAAATTTTATCATATGTATATATATATAAAATATATACGTATGTATATAATAAACATACACACAATATATATAAAATTTCACATCATTTTTTTTTAATAAACCAATCTCTAGAAAAATGGACGAGTAGCTCGTTTTCATCAATTGTTTTCCATTTAAATGGCTGACGAACAAAAGTCTTCGTTCCTTAATAAGGTACGCGAGCCAAAGTACATGGTGGTATCCACGTCGAACGAGCATAAACAAGCATAAACGAGCATCGTCTTCTAAAACGAGCTAATGTGGTAGATAGGCATGTAGATTACAGCTTGTTTTATCTCTTTCTTTCTCTTTCTTTTACTTTCTCTCTTTTTTTATTTCGTTTCGAGGTCGGTAAAGGAACGATGGTAAAGACGACGTGTCCCTGTCATCCTGTCTATTCTGTCCGCCTTGTCAAAATAAGGATTAAGAATCTCGGGGATCCACAATTTCACGTCACGCGGTTGCCTTTCGGACTCGTTTGAGTGTCGCGGTAGGCACGTATTGCTTCCCCGATAAAATAAAGAGAATACGGCATACTAATTTCGAGAAACGTGCTCGGAGAATTTGGCGAGTAGGAAAGCTGTAACAAAATATAAATCCTATCTATAACGATAATAATTTGAGTAATACGCTATAAATTCGCGTTTATTAACGTAATGAAATAAAATATCAACATTTTTCACTAAAAGAACCAAGCGAATGAATTACTACAAAAATAAAGGAAGTGATAAAAAATCAAAGATTTCATCAGTATGAAGGACATAATTGTTAAAAAACGAAAAAATTCTTTTACTTATATAAGAAATATAATATTAATTTGGAAAATATAGAAATGGTCAACAATGATTGTTTGGTTCTAGTGTTAATTATGGATACACTGTCGATATATTTATATCGTCAGATATTTATATAGTCGATATATTTATAGATATGTTTAAAGATGTGTCATAGATATGTTTATAGATAATTATTATAGCAGTGTTACTATCATCATAAATATCAACAGTTTTTACATGATAAAGTTTTATTAAAACTTATGAATTAGACGATTATACTGTTAATTGAATCTGTATGGAGATTGTCTCGTGCTTTTACATTATTTTTTAAAGATTCTCTTTGCGAAGTTTAGACCCTGCTATTAAAAGAAAATGTATAAACTTAAAATATATAAATTGTACTTTTTTTAATTATACATATATTTATTCTTTTTCATCGGATTCGCGGTACAATTAATTAAAAATATTTGATCAAACGGCTTGGTGTGCGCGGTTAGCAAAACAATACAGTTCGGTTTAATTCGATTTACACGCGTCTGGCGTTCATCATTTTGTACGTGTCGATGAAATATCGAGTGCTTTATGCAGTTAATTACAAAACGGCAAATATAATTACTGCGACCGATCGTTATTTTTTCGTTCCTTTTTGCGCAAATGCCCGGCAAATATTTCGTACGCGTGTGATAGCTCCATGCAACACCACGAGCACCACGAGAGAACGCGATGAAATCTATCAAAGAAGTATAAAAAGTCGTTATACGTGCTCACGTTCATTTTTCACGCTTTTATCTGGAATTTGTAATAGGACGATTTCTCCCTCCCTCTCCATCCCTCTCTCTTCCTCGGATTTTTTCCCATTATTTACGCGGCCGCAGCCGCATCTCTCGTCTCGCGCGAAGATTCATGCTTTCAACGGGCCGTATGGTTACGGCAGACCCCGCGTTACCTCTTTTTTTTTCCCCGGCCGATCATCTCGTCGGTGGCTTCGCCACCGACGGGAATCCATCGGCGTGATTTCGCCATCGATTCTTCACGCTCCATAGATACGGCACTGGCGCCACCTCCTTCCTGTCCCCTCTTCCAAGGATCCCCCTCCGCAAATGCATTAGCGGCGAGAGAGCTTTTAGTGACGTCACCCACATACAGATACGCACGCACGCACGCACGCACTCATCACGCTTACGCTCACGCGCGCGTGTACACGCGCACACGCATAACACGCACGCGGATGAAGCCCGGATTGCATATAGTGAAAGGAAAGTCCGTCCGCACGGGAGAATGCGTGCGCGTGGGGTACTTCTGCTTCCACTTCCATCAAGCCCCGATTTCGAGGACCCGGCCTAATCTTTTGTCTCGTCCTTCTCCTCTTCTTCCTCCGTCACCGTCGTTTCCTCCTCCTCCTCCTCCTCCTACCGGCGCTTTTTCAACGACCTCTTCGCACGTCCTAGAATACGAAATGCGCGCTGCAATTTTCCTGTCGCGTCGCCGTCGACGATCGACGACGAGAGATTTCACGATTTTACGAGATCATCCGATGACGGATGATATTCGGATACCTGAATCCTTCGTCGGGCGAGGGGCGCGGGGGATGGGATGAAGGTAGGGGGAGGAGAAAGGATTCACCCGCAAAAACAGCTGATGTGAGAAAGTCGTAAAGTACTCTCCACTACTTCATACAAGTTTAGAAAAGTGCTCGCAATATATCTTCGAGATGTACTTTATCTCACTCTCCTCTCTTTTTCTCTACTTTTCCTTTTAATACGAGATGAGACATAAAATTTAACTATACTTTTTTTTATGTAAATTGTAAATTGGAGTCACTTGACAAAGTATTCTTTCTGGCTGCTCAGTGCATTGACAAAGCATGATTCATTGGCTCTCGTACTTAGAGATAATGCCGTTTAGTAAAGAAAAAATGCACAAAAACAAAAGAATTCGTTTCCTGTAGTTTTTTGGACATTAAATGTAACGTCGTTTATCAAATGGCTTGATCGCGTCAGAATCTTAAGAAATTTAGCAGTTAAAGTTCGAAAAAAGTTAGAAAAAACTACATTTAATGTATTGTGACATATGAGACATATGAGTTACGATACGACTTTGATGTATGGGAGAAGTTTTATTACGAAAATTAGGTATTTAGTGCCCACAAAAACTACGGGAAAGAATTACTTTTGATTTTGTGCTCGAAAAAAAGAATTATTTTTTGTTGAACAATGTAATCGAAGACAGAGGCCTTTATTCCCTTTCGTTTTCAATTTAAAGACAAAGATTTGCTCTGATATTCATGCACATGTCTCGATTTTGCGTTATTTAATCTTTCATTCGTCGCTCATTTTTCACTTTATTCAGACACTTTCTCTGTACTTTGATCAACAGCGTGACGATAAGATTCGTAAATGCAAATAGCCGAGAGGCACGTGCTCGTTTTACAATCGTCTTACAATAACTACGTTCAGCTCAAATGGATATTCGAGACGATCGTTCACGTGTTTTACACGGGCATTTTGCCTTTATCGCTCATCCGTTCGTATATATAGGCAGTCGCGCAGCTCCGTATTTATCGTTAGATCCGTATCGATATTGGTCAGGCTCTCGTCTCCCGCGCGTATGCGGGTATTCTTCGAGAAAATGGAAGCGAGGGAGTTCTACCTCGTTACTAAATGGGCCAGAAAAAGACGTCGTCGTAAAGCGCGCGACGGTGATAAAAACTCTCGCGAAATTAAAAATTCCGCGATAAGCGGGGTGGGAGGGGAAGAGGGAGATTATAAGACGCGGGGTCCCTCTCCCGCGTTATCTTTATAACTGCTTGTATTTGCCGTGTTTCCCCGATGTATACGCGCTTTCGTACGGCGCCGAGGTGCAATCGAAGCGGGATCGCGCGCTGCGCCGAATTCGACGTGTACGAGCCGCGTATTCGAGATAGGAGGAAAAAAAAAATTTAAGAACGCACGAATTTAACGAGGGATACGAGCAGTCTTCTTGTTTCGGAATTGCGTTTCGCGTTCGTTTTTTTTTTTTCGGTACTCGAATGAAAGTACGCGGCGCGTCTACGTGAACGAGGCCAGCGGTTTCTAATCGATCCGAAATGTTTAAGAAAATCGAGATAAAGGATCGCTTTAATTCACCTCCCCGCTACTGGGGGGTGGGAGGGGGAGGGGACAAACTTTCCGGTCTGGTCCATTACGCAAAGAGACGAATCACTTTAAGGGGTTCGCCAATTCCCTCTCCTCCCCGCCCTCCTTCCCGGCGAGAACATTTCCCAATCTAGTCGGTCGGCCAAACAAATTCTACAGTTCCACGCTAAATCGCTAGAAACCGTCCGCGCGATCCGGTATATACGGCCGGTATATGTCCCTCTCTCCCTCCCGAATTCATATATGTATTTATGCGTGACTGCGTCCCGGTTGATGGAAACGCGGGAAAACGATTTCTCGATGACTACAAACCGTACTCGTTGACCGTAAAATAAAAAAAGAGGGGAAAATACAACACGCAATGGTCCTCCGAGCCAAATGAATTGGGAGTCCGTGCGACGTGGATCGATGTGTAAAGGAGATGTAACGATTTATAATAGACGACGGTCGCATTGTTAAACGCGAAAATATAAATTGGACGTGTGAAAAATATGAAAAATACACACGCAATCGCTCAGCGTGCATTCTCTGTCTGTCCCTTTTATTTTTCAACACGTATTATTTTCAAAACGTTTAACGTTTCGACAATCTCATCTCGAGGAAGAAATCAAATTTATATTTATAATATTTATATATTTTTATTACGCAAAGAGCCGATTAATTTATATATTTGCCATATTGCACTATTAAATCTATAGTGTCAAATTGAACCTTATTTAAGTCGCCAGTGTTCCTACTTAATAAAGTTATTTTTAAGTAAAAATAGTTATTTTTAAGTAACAATAGAGTTAAATAACTTAAAACAATTCAGATTTAATCCAAATTTGGGTTAAATTACATTTATTTAAATTTTTTTTAAAACGCTTTATTTAAAAACAGTTATATATGAAGTAGAAGCAGAAGCGACTTAAATAGAATTAAATTTGACACTATAGAATTTAACAATGTGGCAATAAATATACATTTATTTAAATTTTCCGCCTTTGTAGAACCGTTGTGTAACAATTGCAAGAAAAAAAAATATTAACGACTCCTTGGGTAAAATACAATTAAAAGTACAAATTGATTGATCAATTGAATCGTAGAATCTATATGTGCTTATTATTTTATCGTTTCATAGAATTCTCTAAAATCTTCTCTCATCGACTCGTTCCTGCCGTGACGCTTAGTTTCGAAAAAAAGAACTGGATTAACATAAAAGCATCTCCCGTTTATGGTCGCACATACCCCGATATATGCGTTCCTCGAAATTTCAACGTCTCGCTGGCGTCTTGTTTTCGTTCGCCCCGTATCAGAGAGTCGTGGCAGCTCCCCTTTTTTTTCTCCTCTCTGGATACGGATGGGATTGAATTTGTCAAGGCAGTGGTCAAACCACTTTTTAATGTTTCGTGGGAGATTATTTCGCTACCTCTCATGAGCGCGCGGCCGGCGCGGGTTCGTAACATTATCTCTTCTATCCGAGGTCCGCCCGGCGCAACAATAGTTCTTAAGAGAGATTACGCGCGTCAATATTTTTCTGCCTACTGGCGTGTCGTGGATCTTTTGAAAATCAATAACAAATGTGTATACATACGTATGCGCACATACGTCTTTGAAGTGCTTAAACTCGCTGTCTACATACGTTATTCAAATGGGGGCGGAAAAGAAGATATTCAGATTTATTCTTCGGAATATAAACTTTATAGCGTATACTTTTCGTAATATTGAGTAAAAGCGAGAAAGTCCTTAACTCGAAAACGAGATTTTCACGAAAAAGATTGGAAATCGACTCGGAGCAAACGTTTGGAAAAAAAACTGATCATTGTAAATGATTGAAAAAAAAACTTTTGTTTTCGATTGATATTCAAGCATAATTTTCGACGGCGTATCGTGATATTCACGGTCGTTCAGAAGTTAAATGAAGGTGGACGAACGTGTATAGCGTGCTGCAGCTTTTCTATATAGAATTCCACGAATCGGCTTATCGGGACCGAGGCTAAACCGTTTAGGACCCATATTCCTGTCTCCAGAATTCTTATCGAGAACCCTTTGACTCGTTACCACTAATTTAGCGTTCTAAATGCGCGTATATACGTGTGCGTGCTGCCCAGGCCCGGCTTCGGGTCTAACGGGTCTGTAACAATGACTCAACCTATCAGGAATTCGCTGTGTCTGGTCGATCGACTGGAAATTGGACGCTAAGTACATAACTAGCCGACCGGCGTGTAATGGTCTCCTAGTAAAAGCCTTTCGTAAAAAAAATATGCTGAAATTCCTTTAATTCTTTCGGCGGTATAACAAATTTACCGACTTTTTGATTGTTCGACGAACTCTAGCAAAAAAAAACAACACGATTTTGATGATTTCGTCTGTTTCACATTCAGGCCCATTTTCACAATGTATATAGTTACCTAAAAGTTAAAAATTAGTTTATTGTTTAACGACGTTTGATTAGGACTTAACCAATCAGTTAACTTGATGTCAACTCAACTGATGTACACGTAACCTTTAGTTTATTTGATTAAAAAGTCTGTTTTAATTAACTTTCAAGTTTTAGTTAACCTAACTTTTTCGTTAACCATAGATTATGAAAATGGGTCTTACAATTAATATGTCGAATTTTTTGTAATGATTCGCGTTCAGCGCATCTGATGTGCGATTGGGATGATTACTCCTGCCTTTTCTTTTACATTTCAATAAGCCTTTCGTCACTTTTTGTCACCTTAATTGCGACGCGTAATTGTACACTGAGGTCTAATGGATTCCAGCTCTCACATTTCTACACCTTAGATTCCCACCTTCGATTCCCCTTTTCATTCACTGCAATTCTTTCGCGATATTAAGTAGACAAGAGTTAAGTACATACACGTCTCTCCGCGGTCGCAAATCCTTTTTTCTTCGGATTTTAAATAAACATAGATAATTCTGACGCGTTTGTTTACGGACGTTATTTCGGATTTTAAGATTACACGGAGTACCTAAAATAATAGAGACAATATCGGAGAAAACGTTGAAAATATTTTCCAATTACTTTTATATTCTATCTTTCTCTCTCTTTGTGCATTTAAGATCAGTTTATTCCGGGACTGAGATTTTTGCAACGAGATGCGAAGATCTCGAGAGAAATTTCGTTTTATCGATTCCGCTCGTTTTAATCAAACTCTCCCGTATCTAAAAATATGGGATTAGGGGAGGGGGGTAGACAGAAAGTAAAACTTGCTAAAAAATGTGATATCATTTCGTATAGACTTTGTAAGAATGGCTTCAAGATGTTATATTCGTTCGTTGCAACTATCGTGCTTCTCTTTCACAGACTCTGACTAGTCTCGACGACCACGCTCAGACGCAGGATGTATCCGCCAATTCAACTGGAAACGGTACAGTAGCCGCCAGCGCGACGCAATTGCTGTGCAGCCTGATCCCTGAAGAGCCCTTTGAGAAAACGGTCTTGCAGACTCGCGTTCAAGATATTGCCGGGTAAGTCCTTCAAACGCTCAATTTATGAGTATAGTCTTACGCTATGCGATCTCGAAACTACGATATTGGCGTCGCGTAAGAACCCAATCCTTTTAAATGATAATAACGTTTTTATTAACGTATATATTCATAAGTCGAGACGCGAAGGAATTGCATTACTTTGTATTACGGAATAGGACGAATGACGTTTTTACAATATTTGTAATCTGCCTTTTTCGTCCAAATTTCTCAAAAATGCTCCACCATTTCAGAATTTTTTTATAAGAAAATTTTTTACGTAATTTTTATCAATTTTTATTTTTCCATGGAAATTATTTAAGTTAATATAAAAACTAATTTAAAATCTCATTAATTTTAAAAACTAACTAATGTAAAACCCGTTAATGTTGAAAATTGCACATTGTTTTAATTAAAAACATTTATTAACATCCTGTTATTAACAGGATGTTATTAAAAACATATATTAAATGTTTATTAGTTTTTAATGATAATTTCTGAAGTATTATCGGATATCGGATATGTAATATTATAATAATGCCTACAAATATACACATTATAGTGTAACAAAATATTGACTTTAATTAAAATTTTTATCAGAGTGAAGTTCGCATTAAACTAGAATCTATTTTTAACTAAAAGTACAAAAATATGTATCCTAATATTTCATTGTTTTAAATAATAACACATTAGTGGAATATTAGACGTTAGCACAAACAAATACTAAATATTTAATTAACAGATAGCGCTATTTTATTGTGCGCCATTACGATCGTATAAATTGTAAAAATTAATTCTGTGATATTTTAAAAAATTGATAAAAAGGCATTTAATATGTGGACTTAATAATTTAATAAATAATTCATAACAATATTTTTTCTAAGATTCAAAGAGACATTATTGATACTTACATCAACGAAAAGTATATTGTTAGGATATTCGATTATTAGTTACAAAATGGCGGACCATTAAAATTAATCGTAGATTTATTAAAATAGATCGTAGGTAGACGACCGAAGGATTATTTCACTGATTAGGGTAATCGAAGCATAATTAGTAGCGTTCCACTTCTTTCTGGATGATACGAACTCTACGTAATGGCGGGCAATCATCTACAATGAAATCGTAACTTCTGTAACATGTCTTTACGCGTCCTCCCGTATCTTTTTTTTTATAGAATTTCTCAATAAAAGGGCTAGAGCCGCTGAGGTGGTATTTCTTTTTATAAAAAAAAAGCATATTAAAATGACGGTAAAAACGTAGAGAATATATATTAAAAAAAAAAAGAAAAAAGAAAAACGGAGCTAGAGTGACGTCACAAATTTCGCGTTGCTCGAAACGTAAGAAACGCGCGAGAAGCGTGTTTCGCTCGAAATCGCTTACTTCTTTTCTACAATGTTTTTCTCCCCGTCGATCGACCGGTGGATCCTCGTCTTTTTTCCGCTGAAGCTATTAGCGTCCGACGGGCTTTTCACGCTATCTTATATATGCACTCGCTCGGCCGGGAGTGCGCGACTCTCCGTACGAAATCCGCATCTTTTGATCTGGTTCGGAGTCGCTCCGGTTGCGCAAACACACACACGCGCCCGCCGTCCGGAGACCCGTGTGCGCGCGTCCCTTTGAACGGGACGGAAAGAATATACTCGTCGGCGTGCGCTCTTCCGTGGCGCACACCGACCGCTCCGGACCACCCTGTCTGAAAATATAACCGCGCGCCGTGTCGCGCCCAGTGCCGAACTTAATACGCGAGTCACGCCAAAGTGACGAGACGCAGACTGTGTTTTCGTTGCATCGCGCGAGATCCGATCTTTGCCGGGGTGACGTTTCGCACCTGGGTCAACTTCCTTCGCGTGCAGCGGACCCCCCAAAAGCCGCGCGCCGTGGTTAACCCCTTTAACGCGCGCCCTGCCCGCCGCGTCCCTCGCGTTTCACGCTCGCCCTCTTTTTCTTCGCTCGTGTCTTCCGGGGGGGAGAGAAATCCTGTCCGCGCGTCCTATTCTCCCAACCTCTCGTCTCTCCATCGAACGTCATCACGTATAGAATCACGTCATCGAGATAATACGCGGAAAGTAGAATACATAGCGGGAGATGAACTTTTATTTCCAGGTATATAAGCATTAAATTCAGATTTCAGTTGAAAACACGCGACGTGCACAGTAGCTGGCCTTGCAACGCCGACCAACGTGGCGATCGGATTGATTCTTGATTTTATCAACGCGAAAAAGAATGCTTTTCACACAACGGCAAGATCGCGCGCGATCTAAAATTGCGCAGTAATTCCCGCTAGCGTGGTGTGCGACAGTGTCGTGTTAAAGAGATCCCGGATTTCGTTATCTCCCTTTGCCGTACTTTACAGCCGGGTGAATCTGCGAATTTCACGTTCGCCGTGAATATACTGTCTGGCCTTGTATAATGAATGACGAAGGTGCGATCGGAATTATTGTCGACCGCGCGCGCGCGCGCACACCGGTAGTGGGATTATTATGATTAATTTCCTGCCGATGTGCGAGAAAGGCCTAGTCACGATTTTTACTCAGCGCAGCGAGGCTGCTTTTCGCTTTCGTGTCTTTAAAGCGCGCAGATGTGTAACGGCGATCGATCATTTTGTACGTCGTAATACTTATTTGACGGTCGTTAAGTGCACTCGCCGTCGCTCCTTCCCTCGCGCGAAAAATAATGCACGATCCTTTTTTGCGCGCGTGCACGAGAAACCGATTTTTCCGTCTATCAGAGCCGATAATTTACGGCGATCCACGGTTACCGCTGTTTCCGCTGGAGTCTCCACGACTTGGAGAAAGGACAAGCAATTTTGTGCAGCTAAGCGCGGAATGAATGATGAACGACGATCGCTTGCACGGGGGCATATTCGATAATGCCTGTTGATGTCCATTCATGCTAGATGGTATCATCAAATAATGATTCGGTGGCATTGTAAATGGTGGCGCGTTAATAAGTTACGATAATGTGGTAATGAATTGGAGAATGCATGAATGCTACGTCTGTTTGTACGCAAATAGCCAGACACGATATGATTTTTGTAACTTTTTTTCTATCAGCTGAGCTTAGCGTTATATTTTTTCATACGTAAATGTTTAACACGTTGGCTGCCGAATAAGTTTTAACTCATGAATTGGCGATTCATAAATGGACGTGAGCTATTCGTCAACTCGATTTTTTTTTAGAGACTAGCAAATAGAAATTTTATCGAGTTTTGAAGGATAAAATTTTATTAAATTTCGAAGAATAAGTCATTATAAGTAGCATATTTAAATGACATGCTGACGTAAAGAGAACGTCGGAGAAATAAGAGAGACAACGTTTCTAATATCTTTGTCTATTAGATAATTGTACAATAGCAGTCAAAATGTTAATTGATATTAATATAAAGAAGAATAAATGAATAAAGAACGATTAAAAATTTTCTTATTCAAGATAGATGGTGGGTTCTCTTCGCAGTTTCTTAATAATTAAGCCGAAAAACTGAAGAGATGCGATTTTCTCTCTGGTAATACAGTACCCTGACATCGTAACACAGAAAATATAATTATCATTATAGGTTTTATCGATGATATACGAGACAGATATCCCTTAAACTTTCCGATGGTGCACGAACTTCATAAAGTAACAGATGCGTCGTACAAAGATAAGCAGATAAAAAAAGGACCGCGTGTGTTTGCCTATCAACTTTTATACGTTAGCCCGCGTATCTCTTCGCGATCTCTGAGCAAAGAGGCGTCGGTAGTGGCGGCTCTCTACCAGGGATCATTTCCCTCGTTTCCCTCTTTTTCTCTTTAATGCCAACAATGCGAAAGATAAATGAGCTTTTTGTCGTAACGTACGTGAGTCGTAGAGAATCGCATCCCGCGCTGCTGTGTGAACACGACGACGCACACGTAAAAGCAAATAACGCACGTCACACTTTTAATTAGGCTGTTTAATAAAAAAAATGATTTTTTCCGAGTATCAGAGTGAAGGCAATTGTTTCCCATAGTTTAATTGTTATAATGCTAAATACGTTCCCGTTTACTAAGTATTGTTCTATCACGTCACACTTTTAAGAAATTTGCGATTTAAGTTGCAGAAAGGATTATTTTAGTGTATTTTGGTATTTTATAACTGCGACATGTGACGTGTTGAAGAAGTTTTAATTGGAATCAAAGCTAAGTGTGTACATATCACTAGCTATTACAGACGAGAGGTCAGATGCATAGCCACAAAGCCAATCAATGGGGACTCGGCCTTTTTCTCTTTTTTTTTCTCTCTCTTTTTCTCTCTCTCTCTCAACTCGTTGTCGACGTCCTGAGCGGCAATCGTCAGCATAATTGTTAGAGAGGAAGCACCGTAGAAAAATCAAGTCCGCAAACACTCTTAACGATAATCTCGATGGGTGGCTAGAAGAAGGTGCCTGTCGCGCGTTAAGGTCTATGCTGTCTTTCAATCGGGAATCAAGCGAGTAATTTGTTTAGCGAACGATGTCCGAGCATTCAAATCTCGGCGCTTTTGATGAAATGGCGGACGGAAGCTGAGTTAGATAAACTTATAATTGCAATTTTTTATCACTTTACTTCGACACCAGAAAGACACGATATATTTTCTGTGTTGCAATCAGAAATTAATAACTTTATTTTGAAATCTAAATAATAAAAACAAGAGAGCTGTATCGCTAAAAGTGAGAGATATAATCAGTAATAATGCTGCTTTTTTAAACCTAGATCTATAATAATAATAATAATTCACTTATGCAAGCACATCCTTTTATATTGAAACGTATATGTTAATATTCGTACTAAGATCAAGTACACAGAAATATACGGATTAGTAACATATGATGTAGACATACCTAAATAATAAATATGGAAAATAATAATTAACAAATTAGCCAACCAATCGTATCTTCTTAAATTTTTAAATTACATTGTTTCCATTCAAGAAATGAAGAGAATCCACTAGCTAGAACACGTTTGATCATTCTTTACATTATTATTAATTATCATTTATTTATC